TGTGGTGATGAATGACTTTATCAGTTGGACAGCCGTTCACGAAAGTTTCCTCGGAAGACATTCAAGTAGTTGATTTCAGTCAGAAGCAATAGACTTACGAGCGGATATACATGGCGGATGGACTGTTGAGAACAGTAAAAGATATCTGAATGAATACGTTCAGAAAATTAGACAGCCTCAGATCTGTTATAACATTCGACCAGTTGGAAGTGATCACGCGAGGTTCATTCAGTTTCTCAAAATTGATTTATCGATATTTTTTATTCGCTTGTATCTTTGCTATTTATTAGTTTCTGCATTCTTTGATCATTTTCAGTTTTGATATCAGTTTTATTGTGATTAGATTCTCACATACCATCAAAAAGTAATGTTTTCCTTTTAATTTATTTAACGAAATTGTGGAAACTAGTAGTGATGAAATTTTTAGAAATGTTGATATTATTTTTGGATAAAAATGTAGAAGAACAGTAAAGGGGAGTGCAATATGAAACATGTTTCAGGTGTTGAAAATGAGGAGTGATCAGTTGAAAATATTGATTTTGATACTTTCATACCTCAGTTCATCAATTTGGTACATTCCGTAATACTGAACGTGGATTGAGATATACACAANTTACATTACGTATCTTTATGAAGTTTATAAAGCATCATTGCGATGCTTTGTGAATTTGATCAGATTCTTGTGTAGATCGAATTCCACGTGAAACGGTGTGTGTCCAGTTTGGGTTGTGAGAGTATTCATTTGAACATGAGGGGGGAATCCTGTGGATATAGTGTGTTCAAAACAATTTCATATTCCATGTAAAAGTTCCCCAGTCCTGCTGTAATTTTTGCTCAACATAAATCAGTTGTTTCATTCATATCAACTGATTCTGTGCTGGGCTTTCATCATTGCCCGCGTTAAGGCTGTGCTACTGTTAAGGCGATCTTATGAAAGTGCTCTAAACTGTCGAATGATCTGAAAATGTCAAAAAACTAAATCAGGATATCTTATTATGGTTATGATTATCATCATCATCATTTAATTTTAACTTCCAATTTTCATTGAATAGTTTTCCGAATAAATCACATAAAGTAATAGAGAGGGGGCACTGTACAGTAAGCAGCCTTAATGTGGACCAATTGTTCAAACAACATTATGTTGCTATCATTTTCAGAACGTTTATTGCGGAAGCGTCTCTATTCGTACCAGAAGCCGGTCGCAGTGAGTTATATACATATGCATATATCATTCATCATCAGTAGAATTGAACTGCTCTGTTGTTGAAAAATGGTGAAGCATGGCGTCATTGTCTCTGCTCTTCTATTTTATAGTTTGTGAGATTCAATTTGACGCGACTCATTCGAGATAGCACTTGAATTTTATGCGGGAGGGTAACGTGGAAACGGATGTTCTGAAGGAGTACATTCATTGTTAGAATTGTTCACTGCAATCTTGTCTGAACAGTTGTGATCTGAGACGGATTGTTCAGAAATTGTTGAAGTGAATTTATGTGAACTAGGTGATATTTTGGAATTGCGCATTACCTGCAATGACGCGTTCCAGTTATGGTTGGCTGGTGTCGAATTCATAGTTTTGGATGAATTTGGGGATCTGGTAGAACGTCTTCAATTTGTATTGCATAAGTTCGGTAGTTCCATCGGAACATAGTCACTGATTTGGCTTCATTTGTGTGACAGTGTGATGATTATGAAAACGTTACGGATCAAATGAGGGATGCAACAGTAAATGAGTAATTCGGACATACCGTTGCCAGCCATCCAAAATCCAGTTTTGAAATTCGATATGTTCAACTGCGAAACAGATCAGATAACTACTGATCAGAAGATCATGTTCGGTATTTTCTTGAATCATAGCATCTGGTTCTGTTCGTGATATTCCATTTTAACTTCCTCATTTGAAAGCAGCGATGTGTCTTCATGTTCTTCATATTCCTGATCACCGCAGGTTATAAATAGTAATTCTCAAAATTGTTATCTGTTATAGTAGTGAGAATATCAACTGCTCACATCTTGAGCTGTGCTCTTAATTGTGTTCTTCAATCGCGTTATACCATCAGAAATTTGTGATAGAACCTATGATTTTATCAACACGTGAAGTGAGTGCTAAATAAGTCCTTTATATTTGACGATATCTAAATTATTTTACAGCTCTAAATAGATAGGCCATTTTATTTCTAATCCTGAACATAACCTATTTTCACTCCATGCTGATTTATCAACANCATCTTTGAATAAATTCAATTTGTTCGTCATATATTCTATGTCTGATCTTCTATGCCACTTTCGTGCTCTTAGTTCTTCACTTTTGCGGCCTCTTCAACCGTATAACAAGTCCTGTATTGTGCTTTGAATCTGAAAATTTTAAAATTTTGTTCGATCATGAATTTTATTAGTTTTGCTCTTTTATAATCAAGTTTTGCTAGATAAGTGCTTTCATTGTACTGGAAATGAATACCGCTCTATTTTACTGTGGCTTGGCTGAATGCGATGAAATTAAATATTTCAGAATTCAGTTCGTACGCCCAAGGTTCATCTAAAAAAGTGGCTGAAGCCTCGTGTGCATTATCGTTGATTCGTCAGCTGTATCATAATGGTTTCATTGGTGCGTTCAGTGGTGATAGAAAAAAGAAAACTGCTGATCAGGTTCATTTTTTGTTCCTTCTTTCTTCTATCGGCTTTTACTCACCTAACAACTATATGTAAATTATTCGCGAATATTTGTTGACATTACATCAAAACAAATCATAATAAATTGTTTGCTTCAAATTGTTGCCTTCTTTGTCATCATCAATATTTTATGGATTACTCAGAGAAAATTGTCCTAGATTTGCTGCGTTTTGCGTATGTTCACATGTNCAATTCAGCTCGATGAAATACCGGTGAATGTGAATGAAGATTTATCGAATCAAATAGCTGCGTACTTGAATGAAATGAATATATCGGAGGTTAAAGAGTTCGATAATGCGTCCCCGAGCAGTCCGCTCTCTTTGATAATACAACAAAAACTAGATCAGTTCGATGTTTCTGATCCTACTTTTGGTGGCACAATCTCATGGGCTCCATCAGTTCAAAATTGGAATCCGTGGAAAGCACTCAATATCGACGAAGCTCCGCTCGCATTTGTGAGTCCTACCAAATATTTTTCCGTTCCATCTCATTACTGTCACTCTCGAATTCAAGATTCGTTGCTTCCGGGGTTCCGGACTGAAACTTAACCGTTTATTATCGTCGCGTTTCTCATATCTGAAAACAGATTGTATTCAGATGCCGTTAGAGGAGATCAGTGCAAAGTTATTCGACGATGAGCAGAAAAGAATACCACAACAAAGTATTCGAGAGCAACGTGAGTCATTACCGGTATTTCAATATCGTGATCACATCGTTAACACAATCGATCGGAGCTCTGTGACGCTCATTAAAGGTGAAACTGGCTGTGGGAAATCTACTCAGGTCAGTAATTTCGATCTCTAAAATATTGTCTCTGTCGGATTTCTATCTTCAATTTTCGATTTTATGTTGTGGTATAAGAATGCAAATAGAATTTTCTCTCCATTTTGCTGTTTTCATAAGTGGGATGAAGCAAGTGAATATTAAGCGGGAAAGTGTATGATTCCATCATCAGCATTTAAGCTGTTGAAGATGAAACAACAAAAAATAACTGAGGCAATAAAATTTGAGGTGTGTCAGTATTTACTCGAACATTTTATCCTGAACAATAAAGGTGCTAATTTTGCGGCGATTGTTACTCAGCCACGACGGATTAGTGCAATAACGTTGGCAGAGCGAGTGGCTGAGGAACGTGGTGAAATATTGGGTGATTCCATTGGATATGGCGTTAGGTTAGTTTCCTTTCGAGCGTTCAGCAGTGGACTATTGTCCAGGTTCATTCGTTATCGCCAATCAGTTAATTTGAAGTGTCATCTGTAATTTAGTCACGATGTTTGATATCGAATGATTACAATGACAGATTTGATTCGGTGCTACCTCGACCATATGGATCGATAATGTTCATGACCGTTGGTGTTTTCCTGAGAAGACTCGAATCTGGTTTAAGAGGAATCACTCACGTAATTGTTGATGAAATACATGAACGTGACATTGATGTTTGTTTATTCATTTGTCAGATTCATTTCTTAATTCATAATGTCTTGGATATAATGAAACGTTTATAAATTCACTTCAAAAAATGAGCAACATTCACAGAAAACGAGCAAGTGTTGGGAAATCATTGGGAATGCAATTGATATGAATTAGAGGCTGCAAATATATTGTAGATTGAGATTATAGGACGTCAGTTCGCTTTCGGCTACAAACTTCATTTACATTGAGACATTGTAAACTGCCTTGAAAGTTGTTCGAATGCAATGTTGATTTGGATGTATGTCAAATGTTCAGAGCGACTTCGCGTTGATCGTACTTCGTGAAATGGTTCGTCAGTACCCAGAAATGCGCTTGGTTCTGATGTCTGCAACAATTGATACCGACTTATTCACAAATTATTTCGGTGATTGTCCAATTATTCAACTCCAAGGACGTACATTTCCTGTTCGAGGTT